ACGGTCGGTGGTGGTCGACGACGATCGCGATGACAGAGATGATGTTGGACTTGAACTCCTTCTCACATCCTCAAATTCTCTCTGAAGCATCCTGCACTCATGTGAGGGGTGGAGCTCTAATTATAGTGTTCTGGGTGCAATTAATGCAGAAATATAAATCATTTTGATTGGACGGTCCAATGAGCGTCCCTCGATCGGATGGCGTTTGATAGAATTTATGTGCCTTAACAATGTCGGAATTAAGCAATCTCTGGCTCGTTGGATTCGTCTTGTCGAGACGCTCGATCCAATTACTCGACATCCGTTTGACATTTCAAATGCCTCCAAAAATCCTCCAAGAATGGTTTAATGATTTGATCCCGGCTTGATTTGACTCGGATTGGACTAGTTTTTATATCATTGGGTCTGTCTCATCAAGCCAGTCAGTTTAACTATAAGTTTACTGAAATCAGAGCTCTGAATGACTCTTAATCAAAGTTTGAATGTTTCTTGCTCAAAATATCATCTCGAGATTCGTGTTATGCTTCGAAATTTGTTTGTGGCGTATCAGTTGTTCCCCTATTTGGCAAGATCATATTATCGTCCGAAAATATCAAGATCAGGAGAACCTTTTTTTCATGTTTATATTATTGTATTATCATATATATATATATATATATATATATATCACTTAGGATTATTATAAGAGTAATATAGCTACAGCTATAATTAGATTACTCAGTGTTACTCAATGGGAATTTCTCTCGTCCCAATTGTTCGGGTTCTTTGCTTGGCCCATAAATCCCATTTCCATAAAAAACAGAATTTTTTTTTTATGTTCTTTGTTATTCCTTCTGGAATTTAGAGGGTAGATGGCCGAATAGCTTGCCCCGAAATTGGAAGCGGTGAGAATGAACAGCAGTGGCCAAACGGCTGTAATTTGGAGAACGGAGCATTTTTTTTTTAATTAAGTATTTAAAAGGTGAGTTATTTTTTAAGGAGAAGATAGAAGTAGAGATGTGGGAAGAGTCAGGGCGACGCGTTGCGGCGGAGTGTCGTGGTTATGTTGGCGATGCGTTACGGAGGTGCGCCGCGACGACAAGGTGCGGCGGTGCTTCGCGGCAATGCGACACGATGCGACGATGTGGATGTGTCGCGGTGGTGCATCCCAGTGGGGCGTTGTGGCGGTGCGTCGTGGCGGTGCATAGAGATGACGCATTGCGGCAAAACGTCGCGGCTGGGTGTTGTAGAGATGCATTGCGACGGGGTGTTGTAGCGATGCGTCGCGGCTACATGACGCGTTGCAGTGGTGCATTGAGATCAAGCATCGAGTGGACGTGCTGCGTCGGAACGCTGTGCCTTTGCATTGAGGCGACGGGAGGAATGGTTGTGGTGCGTCAATTTGATGTGTCATAGTGACGCGTTGTGTTGCAACGGTGCGTCGCGGCGACGGAGCGTCGTCGCGGGGTGTCGCAGCGAGGCAACGTGTTGTAGTGGAGTGTTGTGGCGGTACGTCACGGCAACACGTTGAGGCGAGGCAACTTTGCGTTGCGGCGGTGTTTGCGGCAACGAGTTGCGGCGGAGCGTCACGGCGACGCGTGGTG